TCTGGGACTGTCTTTAAAAGAAGAGGAGGAAAGCTCAGCTTTGGCTGCACTTCATCATGTGCGGCATGAATTATTTAGCTACAAATTGTGAAAATCTGAGTTGAATCATCCACATTCCCTTCATCTTAAACAGTGACACGTTAGAAATGTTACCAGCCTCTGAAGACCAGTCTCCTACTACCTCTCGCATAGGTAGTAAGGAAACTCACTCTGGGATTATCTGTGGTGCTCAATGAGAGTTTAGCAAACACCAGGTAATTACATTCTTGGCCATTATTAACCCCCAGAGTTAAATTAAAAAATGATAGGATTGAATCCTGATAACCTTGAAGACCATATAATACAAGTCCTTTTTTTTAAACAGTGTATATACCTTATAGCCAGTAAATATCTCAGTGACCAAGTTTCAACACTAGAAGTGACAGCTAACCAACAAAAAACCCAGCAATGACTAAGAATCACTTAGCGGAATCAGAGGCTTCTGCCTTCTGTTAAGAGAAAGTGGCTACATTCCAAATTAGCTTAACAGCATAGAATGCCTTCACAGAATTCCATCAAATGGCAGACTGCCTCATGGAGAAAACCAACAGAATATTTTCTCCCTCAGATTTCCTTAGCTTACTTGCTTTCTGCCCTATGCAGACATTCACTCTCTGCTCTAAGGGAGATCCTACTGATTTGAGGTGTCATTTGGAGCTGCTCATGGAGTTGTCCCCCCTCCAGAACTCAGTAACATTCGTATTCGCAGCTGCTGGAATCCAAGTCCTCATTCTATTGTTTCTTTGTATTTGCACTGGTATCTTTCTTGATGCTAGGGTCCCTCATTAAATAAATAAATAAATCTTAATTTCATTTTACTACTCCTTTTTTAAAATTCAATTACCACTGAGAGAAAATAACAATTACTCTGTGGAAACTTTCTTTGTATACATTTAAAAATGCCATTGGAGCTATGTTTTGGTTCTACACTTTGTAACTGCATACTAAGAGCTCTGACTTTCTAAGTATGTCCTACATTAAGATACCAAACAGTACATTTTAAAAATGCAATTTGCCCATACTTCTGTAAATCTTTTGTAAAGCTTGGGAAAGTACCCATTTAATTCCATGCTGATAGTAAGCTTCACAAAGGCAGGGCTTCAGTGTTTGTTCATTATTGTATCCCTTAGCATCGAGTCCAACGCCTGGCACATACACAGCATATTTGTTGACATATATTTTAACCTAACTTTATAGAAAGATTACGTACCTCCAAGAGCAAAGTGATTTAGTAATCTTGTATTCTGGAACTAAGAGGAATATTGGGATTCTTGGCAAGTAGCCTCAGCCTCTTTTGGGATAAAGAAAAAGATTATCTTGGAAGTCATTAGACAGGAAAGGGTTAGGTGTGATGTGAAATACATACAATTTTAAAAAAACAAAACATAAAAATGCCCAGTGAAGTACATGATTTTACGAGACTAAAAAGGCAGTCTTCAAATCAATTCTGTCATAACAGGGACCAGGCAGTCCAAGTGTTGCACTTGACTACATCCCAGTGACCTAGTTAAAATGATGGGAGATTACAAATTAAAGAGAAGCCACAAATCATGGAACAGTGTGGTAATGCAAAGACAAAAACAGCTTCTGTAGCTATTTTCAGTTTAGGGCCTAAGGTTATACAAACGACAGACAACAAAGTCAAAAGAGAACTTAAAATTTTGTTTCTAGCTTTTCTATTGAGAATGCCCTTTAGGAAAAAGGGTACATTTATTGCATATCTATAACATGGTAGGTGATGTCTTAAATGTTATCACATTTAACTTTCATGGTAGACTTAGAAATAAGTGTCTACTAAACTAACTTCCTCCTCCTCCTAGATAATGTAAAAATCTGCTTGAATATTGGTAACTGGGAGTATTTCTTAAAGAGATTATGAAAACACACAACTGCAGAAATTTGTCACAATTCAAATGAATTAGACCCAGTTCCTTGAAAAGGACCTTTACGGAAAGTGAAAGTGACCTTTAAGGAATCATGAGTAACAGGTGATGGGTGAATGCCATCTTCATTTTTAAGCTGAAATTTTTTTCTCCTGGGAAGACAAAATCTGTTAGGGAGGGGCCATATCTGTTCTGCCTTTCTATCGCCAGCATCTAGCCCAGTGCTCCAACCACAATGCTCAGTGCCTGTTGAGTGAGAGCCAGCCATCTTCACCTATCTGAAGCGTTGCCAAGTAGATACAGGATTAAACTTGAGTAATTCCAAGGAGAGAGCTATCCCAGTTATAAGAATGTATGCCAAAATCGAGACCATTTAAAACTGACGTGCAGACAGAGCTGTCTCAGGATGGAGTGCACAATCATTAGGGAGAAACGGAGCTCCCATCACTGAAAGTGCTCATTGACTCATCAGTTTAGGCACCCAACTATCACTGTGACGGTTACTACCTTACCTCCAGCCTGATCTGATGTCTCCAACCCTTTGGTGGCGGCTTGAAGAGGCAGGTTGGGGATGGTACTGGGAAAGGGCTTGTTTGGTAATGAAGAAAAAGAGGTGAATGTAGAGAGGTAATTTTTGCAGGTCTGTTTCTGGAAGCCTCAGTTCAGCTCCTCAACTCAGAATTAAAGCCCATTGCTCTTGTTATACTAGTTCTATTACGCTTATACAGCCTTTTTACAGATGTTCCAGGAACTTATCACCACTAACAGCACTGCTCCAGAATCCCATTTTCCCAGTGGCTTAGAGTTAACCTTAAACAACATAACTAAAATTGAAACTACATATCTTTGCATCATTCTAGTCTCATTTTTTTTTCAATAGGATAGACATTTGTTTACTATATTTACATTTGATATACTCTGACGGCAACGATCATTTTTTAAAAAAAATAATATGACAGTTTATATTTACAACATTTTGTGCCTTTTTCCATCTCAGTTGTAATCCCTGTGGGAGAACCTGTCATTTTTAACGATCCTAAATTTGTAAGGAAAGTTCATTAGCAGCCAATTTCCCTCTCTCAGAATTCCCCTTCAAACCTTCTTTACTAAACCTTCTTTACCTCCCTTCCTCAATCAAGGTCAAAACAATGCAATTTGTCATTTAAGTTAAAATCAACTTTGCAAAGAGAATCAACATACTTTGTACGAATACCAAAAGATCACTGTTAAATAATAAAGGCTGGTAATGTTGACATTTAGATTTGCCCTTCTCTCTCACATTGCACATTAGTGTAAGTTAATTTCAGAATTAACCCTGAGATTGGACATTTCCTTCAATTGCCTACCATAAAGGCCAGGAGACTAAATGAAGGCCTTTTCTGGAATGGCAGGCAGTCTGAATACCAGGAGCCAGCACACAGGAGAACTGCCATGCCATAGTTTTTCTACCTCCAAGAAAACATGCACTTTAACACACATATGAACCCAGTACAGGTGGTAGACATTAAAATACAAATATATTTCTCATGCAAAATAGAACAAAAGTTATTTACAGAATACAAATAAAGTGCTGAAAATCAAAATTTCTTTTTAGGGGTACCACCATGATTATGTGGTCTCAATGAAGATTAATACCACAAGTTCAACTTGCAACTCTGTAAAAAAATGAAGATAGAAAATGCACTTTGGTGGAAAACTGGATGTATGAAAAGCTAAGAAGAAATGAAAGCAGGAATGATAATAGCAAATTTTCTTTTATATACAAAAATGAAAGCCCCCAAAAAAGGTTTGCTGAGTAGCAATCAACAAGAAGTTAAATTATGTTTCCTCTGCTTTGGTTAAAAAGCCTAGGAATGGCATTGCCTCCCGTTCTACTTACAGCATGTAAACACAGTGACAGGACCACTTTTTTGACAGAATAAACAACTCGTAAGAAATAATTTTAACCTAAACTAAGCATTTTACCAATAAATAAGTTTCTTAAAAAGGTAACACCTTCATCCTGCAACCTTGAATATAACATATATGGCAACTTAAAAAAAAAAACAAACTCTCCCACAAGAGTAACTACAGGTGTTAATGCAACAAGCTATAAAATGAAATTATTTTAATGTATCTTTAAAAATAAAATCCTATCAACCCAAAATTTGAAAGATGGACATTTTCTAAAATTGTACATTCTAAAATAACCGAGTAGTACTTTATTACAGAACATAATTCAAATTAGTTACTTCAATATAATCCTAAGGAAATGCTAAAAAAAAATTTGTACACCAAAACTGGAACAGCATTTATAATTCTGTTTATGGTTATAAAAAGGCAATCAATTTACTTAAAACTGTAACCAGTGATGAAATATACTTCAAAAACATAATCATTTGGTCTGACATTCTTTAATATCAGTTTAAAAACAGTCTGATGTTTGTTGCTGATGGAAGTTATTTTAATCCAATGTGCAAAGAAAGTGCAGCTGTCTACTTTCACTTGAAATACATAAGACCAATACTTCTACACTATTTACACACTTAAGACTTTAAATTTGTTCATTTAAATAAGGATAGTGCATTTCCTTTAAGGATAAATCATATGCTCCCAAGAACCCAGAAGGTTGTTATTCTGTTAAATGACACAAATGCAGCCAAAGAAGCATCCCTGTTCCTGTCCTAATTTAGAGTCTAAATAAAAATCCAATTGCAAAACCAGTTACAAATTATTTTGATCTAATAATCTTAGAATTGTTGCAAATGTGAATACCTTGTATTTGACAGCCCGGGTCCTACTAACCCTTGTCTGTTGTTCTCACCACTGGTCCACCCACAACCTGGACCTGTTGCAGAGTTGCAACATCTCCAAGAGGAGCTGAAGAACTCAGCCTCACACCACCAACTCATTGGAGGATTTGTTTAGCCTTTGGGAGCTGGGACTACAGCTTGGTGGCAACTATCAAAATGGAAAAAGAAATTCTTCAGCAAAGCAATCATTATTTGTGCACAAAAAGTGATACAAAATTAACAAATCTAATATAACCAAATCTAAGACCATTCTGCATTTTCAGAACTTGTTTTCATATTTGCGCAGTTCTTGGTCAACCACCCAGCAGTATTTTCTTTGTTCTACATGAAGTATTTTTATTAAGTTATTAAAAATGTTATGACCATAAGTCACATGTAATTGCAATTAGGAAATCAATGTACTCAATTATCACTCTGTGCAGTGCACACACCAGTGCAGCAAGTGTAAAGAGGAATTAACAATGGAATAGAAGTCTCTCACTTCTGAAGTGGACACAGCTCTCAAATTAAAATAATAAAAAAGAGGGAGGGGGTCACTGGCAACATTAATACTAGACACTAGACAGACAGTGAAACTGGTCAAAACCAAGGAATGTTATTTCCTTGTAAAGTTTTCAAAATACCTAGCCAAGCACTGCCTTAAGTCCAGCGAGTATAATGCTCCACAAATTTCACAAAAATACAGTGACTGGCATTTATTTATTATGAACAATGCAATCTCAGTCCTGTGGCTCAGGCGGAGTGTTCCTGTCCCGTCACCTCTAGCTACAAGCTATCGTTTCCAACTGCTGCTCCGCTTCTGCAGCCATCGCTGCTGCCTGCAACTGTTCTGTCTCACTCTGGATGGCACTGGGGGTAACCTGCTTCCTTTCACTGTGCATATTGTTCTCGTGCCTTTTCAGATCAGATGCCTTGGCAAATGCCTTGGTGCAAGAGCCACATACAAAAGGCTTTTCCCCTCTGTGTCTTCGCTCATGATCTTTGAGGTGGGACTTGTGTTTGAAGGCTTTGTCACACATATGGCATGCAAATGGTCTTTCATTACTGTGAACTCTCTCATGCTTCTTTAAGTCTGGGGCGCGAATAAATGATTTTCCACACACTTCACAACTGTAGGGCTTATATCCTGTGTGGATTTTTAGGTGTTCTTTAAGGTGGGCCTGTGTGGTAAAACCCTTTGTACACATTTCACAAACAAATGGCCTGTCTGCCGTGTGGAGTTTTTCATGCTTCCTCAATCTGCCTTCATCTGAAAATGTCTTACCACAAGCCTGACAGGCAATCTGCTCCCGATGGTGGCCATAGAGTAAGTATTCAAACTTCATGTCACTGGCAGCTGTTGTCCAGCCTGGTGTCTGTTCATCCTTCACCTCACTCATTCCATCATTAAATGTTAAGGCTTGAGGGGTCTGGGACCCCAAATCTTTCGATTCTGGAGTTTCCATGGATTCTACTTCCTGGCCATAGCAGTTGACTTTTCGTACTTCCTCGCTCCCCAGCTCTTTCAAGATGGCTTCCTGAACCCTGAGCGTAGTTGTGGGAGACTTGCCGTCCTCCTGACTCGGGGGGGTGCCTTCTACTGTATCATCAGAGGGACTGTCATCCTGATCTCCAATTTCTTCCACATCATCATCCTGAGTATCAGCAGCATCTCCAATAGGTCGATTTATTTTGAGGCAATACTTACTTTTTGATTGGCCATTGTTTTCATCAGGACTAGATACATCACGCTTCTGAGAACAGAGTTTATCCAAAAATCGGATACCAAGAATCTGACCAGATGACATCATTAAGTTAACATCCTCTTTTTTCACTGAAATCTTTGCTGTGTACATGTAGTTCAGGACTTCTTCAAATATATCAGAACGAAGAAAATCTATTTCTATTACTGAAGAGCTATCAACCTCAAGCTTTTTGAAAAGCTTTTTAAAGTAGGTGCTGCAGGCTGCAAGAACACATCTGTGTGCTCTGAATTTCACATCCTCAACCACAATAGCAATATCACAAAATTCTCCTTCCAGGCGCTGTTCATTTAGTGTTTTCAAAAACAGAGTTTTATGATCATCGTCATTATATTTAATGGTTTCAGACATACTGATGAAAAACTCCTACAAGAAAAAGTTTAAAAAAAAAGATTAAAAATTATGAATATTTTCCCATATGAAGACACAGGTAGATTTTCATTTTCTGATCGAGTTTTGGTATCTAAGTTTCTGTAAGTCAATGTTAAGCATTGTTTAAGAGTGGGTAGAAAAGACTGATCACAATTTACAGATTTCCAATTGCTACTTTTAATTATCTTCATTTAGTATACTAAGTACTTGCTTAGTTGCAGTAATAACAGTTTTTACTGAGCACATAATACATGTTAGGCTTAATCTTCACAGATGTAATGATCAAACATTCATAAGAATGAGGTTAGGAACCTGCCAATATTCTTGTTATTTGGTAGAAGGCTGCAAGGCAAACCTGCATTTCCTAATAATTAGAGGTAATAATGACAATTCAGCTCAAGGTCTAAGAAACAGATTTAAGGCGAAGATCCTCTAATCCCAGTCCCGACTGCATAGATTCTAATTCCACATATGGAGAACTAACAGCATTCAGTATTCTTCCTTCATAGAAAAGACAAATCATTACTGCAGAACTAAAAAGGGATTTCATTACCAAGGCAGTTCATTTGCTGTTGTCTTCCAGATTTTCTATACCAGTTTTGGGTCATTACTGAGTGAGGGTTAAGGTTTAATAGACCTTCAGTGAATCAGATAACATCTGTGAAGACAGTGATGAGTGGCTTCATCCTCTCTGGATGCCAATCTATCTGCCTTCCAGATATGAATCTCATTAAGACTGGAGGTACTTGACAAGTGCTGTATTTTATGAGTAAAAGAAATTTAGAAGTGGCATGAAAGACATGTCATCAGATGAAATAACTGATCTCTTTAAAATAATGTACCTCATATATTTTTCTTCCAACAATAGTCCCCTTTCAGTAAGAAAATATGAATATGAGGAAAATACACACTTCCCATAAAGAAACAATGCTAATGCTAGTGATATATATTTATGTTTTAAAACAGGCAATGACTCCTATACTCAAGACATAGTATTCAAAGTTATAGTTACCATGAACAATTCAGGCTATTATCTTAATGCTTTAAACACCAAATTCTTCAGATCAGAGTAACTCTGATCAGGGGCACGCCAGTCCTACAAAAGAAGAGACACATACAGAGTGAGACAGGAGCTTCCTCTATGCCAAATTCTGAACAAAAATGTATTTCAGAATTACTTAAAAAACCTTTCATTTTTTGTTTTCTCACTGCACCCATTTTCAGGCTGGAAGCTTCGGAGAGGAGAGAAAGATGGCTGTTAGCATAAGGTCCAGCTCTGAACAGTTATAAATGAGAACAGGTCAGGGCTGCAGCACATAGGGTGTGGTAAGACTACACACTGGGAACTGGAAGGATGGGTTTGAGAAGTACTGAGGAACTTCTCCTTACAAAGCTTATGTCTGTATTTGCACAGGTGTCAATAGCTACACAGATACAGAAAAAGCTAGTGAGCACCCATGGCTCCCACCATTTTTTTGCTGGGTATGTAGTCTCCGTTTTCTGTAGGTTCACTAAAACAGTTTATTTTTTATAAATATAGAAAATATTAGGGAAGTATACACCCTTGACAGTAAACGGAGGAAAGCAAATAATAGCTGCCTTTTCTTTCCTAACTCCACGTGATGTTAAGTACTACATATCTCCTAATTCACACTGGTCTTTAAGCCTGCATTTGAAAACTCCAGCAGTTTTTGCCTCCACCAGTACAGAAAGGGCCAAAGACTTCTATCTTTCTGTTTCTTAATTCTTACCGGGGGGACTTCATCATGTACACCCATATGCTGAAAAAGATAAAAGGTTTCCTCTACTCAACAGTGACCACACAAACTGTGTGTGCACCAATGGAACGGGTGCAATATTCTAACACAAAAACTGTGTTGTGGGACCTAAACCTAGAGACCATCATTCTGAAAACCACCAAAAGTTCCCACTTACACAAGAGTGAACACATCCATTTGTTGACTAAAGTAGCAGGTGTTTTCTCATCTGCAGAGTGAGGGCTGGGCAAAACCTTTCAGTTCCCTCGATGCACAGGCCAGCAGGCAATTCTGAGAGTGCAACCACTCAAAACCTTCATACTGAGTTACTTCCTGCAGTAGTCGTAGCACTAAGGCTTGTGGGATAAAAGTAATACTAGGAGAGGAGAGGAGTGGCTATACAGTACCCATGGCAACGCATCAGTAGCCATCCTGATTTTTTAAAATTTCTTTTTTAGGCCCTACTCTCTCTCAAGGACCTTTTTTTTTGGTTTTTGTTTGTTTGTTTGTTTTTCCCTTATTGAGATCTTTCAATTTTAAGTTCAGGTGGGTCAAACGGGAAGATACCCTTAGCCAATGTCAAGTGCCTGTGAAGGTGGTGGAAGAAAAGATGTAGCCCGGGCGACATCTCCATAACAAAGCTGCCCTTTTATTACAACAGTCCAACCGCTGGTGCTCTGAGCCATTTCAGAGCAGGGAGACCAACCTCCAGCAAAGGCAAACATATAAACGGCGGTAGCCGCCTCCCTTAGCCCATAGTGGCCACAACAATGGCTGCGGCACGATTTCCCGGTTTGAAGCTCCCAACTTCGGGATGGGTGAAAGCAAAGAAATCCAGCTTGAGCCTCTTCAGGACGGCCTCGCTCCGGTTTCTCAGGCTCGGGAAGTGGGAGAGGAAAAAGCCGTTTGCATTCCCTCCCAAACAAAAGCTCGCTGCCTCGGAGCTGGGAAGCAAAAGGGCCACTTTCCCTTTCACGATCCGCAGACTGGCTAAGGCTGCGGCCGCGGCCCCAGGCGCGAGATCGAGGGCCCGCGGCGGCCCCAACAGCGGCGGCGAGCGAGAGCGGGC